GATGGAGATGGCACAGAGGAGAAGATGGCACAGACTGGAGGGGAGACTCACAGGAGGCTGGAGGGTTGGGGAAGTGGTGTCTCCTGGTTTCCTACACGGTAGCCACAAACTGCATGTGGCAGTTAATCAAATTTAATTAAAATTAAATCATATCAAAAACTCAATTCTCACTGGCCCCACCCTAAGTGCCCAGTAGCTATCTGTTTATTCTGGAGCATTTCCATTATTGTCGAAGGTTGTATTGGAAGAGGTCGATCCAGCCTGAGGCCCATGAAAGATGAGTTTCTGGGACTAGGGGGGAAGGAAGTGTGTCCCCAGCTTTTCTAAAAGACACCCTTTGTAGACTCAATGCAGTTTTGGCTCATGGTGGAGGTGACAAGGCCACTTCCTGTGGTGTTTTGTCAGCCATCTTGGATTCCCTGCTAGGATGATAGGAAGCCATGGAAACACTCAACCAGGTGAGTAACAACTTTGAATTTGAATTTTGGAGAATGGGTTGAAGGAGAAACAAGATAGGAGGCAGGAGGACCAATCAGAAGGTTGTTGAATTCCTCTAGAACCTTGGACTAGAGTAGTGGTAGCCATGTAGGTGGAAAGGATCTAGGGCATATGATCAAGAAATTGGGGATCATGGTGAGTGAGGAAGAAGAGGGAACCGACTTTATGGCTTGAGTTAGCTGGTGGACAGTACTAACATTTCCCCTAGTCTGACTGGAATCTGAGAGGACGAGAAACTTTATTTTGAAGTTTTGGTACTTCATTTATTGGAAAGGTCTCATTTCCCCTACAGCTCACCACGGAACCTTCTCAAAAGAGAAAACATGGGTGCTGAGCCTGTAGAATTCTCAGGGCAACTGCAGGTAGTGTTGTGGCTCCAGCATAGGCAAGAGAAAGGGGGAGGTTTACTTCCCTTCTCTCTTTTTCTCTCCTAATTCTTTACAAAGCTACTCACTCAAAATGGCTCCCCTGCAGATTCAGCCGCGTTCATTGTGGCCAGTTTTATTCTTTATAGTTTGGTGATATAGATTCTAAATTTCAATTCTTTACATATCCACTCCAACTTCCCTTCCTCCATGGTCCTCACTCAGTCTGTTCCTTCTATTTATGCCCCTAGAAATTTTATTAACTTCCCCTCACAAAACTCATTCACAAAACTCCAAGAGATAAATTAGTTTTTATCCCCAAATACACATTAAAATAATGTTACAGCTATAGAGTCAAAATACACGTGCATATTATTCTGTGCCACCTAAAATAGTCGCACATATCACCTTTTGGGAAATATTGCTTAAAACTGCTTATTCTAGCAGCTTTTATTGTTATCTATGTACTCATTGTATTTTTCCTACAAATGCTGAACTCCAACAGCAGATAAGAGCCTCCTCATTTTGGGGGTCCATGAGCATCTGGCCAAAACACCTCAGAGGTTCATTTAATAAATATTTGTAAATCAATAAGTCCTCCATTTTACACCAGGCACTGTAATTAGTACCTAAGAGTAAGAATAAGATCAGTAATAAAATTTTGTTTAAGGTTATTATGACTTTTATTTGTTGAGCAGTTTTTGCTTCACAGAAAAATTGATTGGCAGGTGTAGAGATTTCCCAACCACGCCCTGCCCCTCACTCACATGGCCTCCCTCTTAACAATCATAGACTTTCAGAGAAAGAGGAAACTATTTTTTTCTTCCTCAACCTTTCAGCTAAGTCAGAGAGCGAGGAAGGTGATATGACAAGACTTTCTGTAAAAAGGATGCACCGATATTTACAAGAAAGAATTTAGAGAGTGTCTGCTACCAAAGAATGAAGACTATGTCTGTTTGTTGAAAAAATCCAACCTGACTATTTCAAGGTATTCAGAGTTACAGAGTTACCCATCCAGACTGGTCTTAGGGTGTTGCACCTACAATAGTTAACACCTTCTCACAGACTCTCTGGGAACAAAGGTCCACAGAGAAAATGGCTGCTATAAGCTCTCAGGAAAAGCAGGAGTTAATCTCCCAGATCCTTGTTCTCTGCCCTTCCTGCCAAGAACATGGACTTTATCTCCAAGGACCTCTGGGATTAGAGGGGGAGCTAAATGTGGATGTTTGATGAACACATTTATTAGACGTTATGAGACCAACATGTAAGTATGAGGCCAATAAGTTATGAGACCAACAAGTAATTTTATTACTGGGAGGAAGTGACAGGAAAGGAAGTTTGGGAACCATCTGGGAAGGACTTTGTATGCCAGTCCAAAGAATGGAATCTTTAACCTAGAGCAGAGGTGACAAACTCAAAATCCCACAGAGACCAGGCATGTAAATGAGTGAAGCTGGCCAGGTAATAGGGAGTGGTAAGGACTGTGGCAAAATGGAGATACCTTGCCTTGTATAAAAGGGGTGGCTACTATCATCTCCAGATGAGTGTTACCATCTGGGATTGTGGACCCAGTGTGGTCAGATCTGCCAGTTTTCCAAGAGAGGCTAGAAATTCAGGTGTTTTTTTTTTTGTTTGTTTTTTGTGTTTTATTTTTTTTATTTTTTTTATTTTTATTTTTTTAGAGGCATGTTTTTTATTTATTTGTTTGTTTGTTTTGTTTATACATGCACTGGGTACAGTCAGAAGCGCGGGAGGGTGAGAGAATTCACCAGAGCCAGAGCGGGGAGCAGAGCAGGCAGAAGGACCGAAGTACACTGCTGAGGGGAGCAGCGGGCGGCAGGAGAGGTCTACGCGCCATGCGGGACCCTGGGACCCTCCGCCGGTGGCCAGGGAGCAGCCGGGGATCGAACCAGTGCTGCAGAGGCTGCAGGCAGCTTCGCAACCCAGCGCTCAACCGCTGCGCCACCGGGGAGGCCCATGTTTTTTGTGTTTTTTTAAATAGGAGAGTCCCAGGTTTTTTAAACACTGGTGTTTGAGCAAGCTCTGACCCACAGGCCATACAGTCTATCACGGTGACAGGTTAAAGGCAGCTAAAAAGGGTGGTAAGTCAAAAAAGGGATAGGACCGGGCCTCCCCGGTGGCGCAGTGGTTGAGCACTGGATTGCGAAGCTGCCCGCAGCCTCTGCAGTGCCGGTTCGATCCCCGGCTGCTCCCCGGCCACCGGAGGAGGGTCCCACATGGCGCGCAGACCTCTCCTGCCGCCCGCTGCTCCCCTCAGCAGTGTACTTCGGTCCTTCTGCCTGCTCTGCTCCCCGCTCTGGCTCTGGTGAATTCTCTCACCCTCCTGCGCTTCTGACTGTACCCAGTGCTTGTATAAATAAATAAATGAATAAAAATCTTAAAAAAAAAAAAAAGGGATAGGACCATATCTGTGCTTCAGAGCACACGCATCGCAGTGGGAAGGAATTATAAGAAATAGATGAGGGGAAAGGCGGCCAGTCAGAAAACTCAACAGTGTCAGCCGGTGGGGGGTGGCAGTGCCCACACCAGAGAGTGTGGGGTGGGGGGCAGTGGGGAATGTTGTGGGCTGTTTTGGAGTCCGGGAGTCGGTGGGAAGAATCTCGCTTCAAGCAGCAGCTGGAAGAAGGCGTTCCTTCTCCTGCAGTCCCTCCCCTCACCCCTTACCTGAACTGGGAACTGAAAGCCACAGGGGCAGATAATTCATCTCCAGAGCCAAAGGGTGGGAATGTCAGCAGAGACTTTGTCCTCACCTGAGGGGAGCAGCGGGCGGCAGGAGAGGTCTGCGCGCCATGTGGGACCCTCCTCCGGTGGCCGGGGAGCAGCCGGGGATCGAACCTGCGCTGCAGAGGCTGCGGGCAGCTTCACAACCCAGCGTTCAACCGCTGAGCCACCGGGGAAGCCCAGCAGTGCATTTCTGTAGACCTGCTTGTTCTGCTCCCCACTCTGTCTCTGGTGAATCCTCTCACCACCCCCCGACACCTCTGGCCTACACCCCAGTCTTGTATGCATAAATAAATAAAATAAATCTTTAAAAAAGTATATATATACAAAAAGAAACAGACTCCTTGACCAACCGCCCCACCTCCATTTGTCTCCACCAATGGGCTCAACTTGTCCCTAAAATGAAACTGTCATTGTGTGTGTGTCTCCTGGTGTCTGGCTCTTTTGTGCAGCCTCTGGGCCGCTGAGCGCCAAATCCTCTTTTGCAAGCGCATGAGGCCCAGCTTCCCAGCAGTGGCAGGAGCTGGTGCCCAGAGAGCCCCCTTCATGGAGACAGACCCTGAGAAGTGGCTTCAGATCCATTTCGTGGGCCACTGGCTGGGCCACTGGTCACTTGGGCCCAGGGAAGGCGGCCACGCTCAGGAGGTCTGAGTGGGGGGAGGTGAGGCCGCTCCCTTCAAAGAAGGTTTCTGACCCAACAAGCGCCGTTCTGAGAACCTCTCCCCTCTGCAGCCCTTCTGGCGTGTGAGCCGCATCTCAGGGTGCGGGCACTGGAAGCCAGGCTGAGAGGTTGCCGAGCCAAGCCTCCCCTCTGGCACCGCCTGAGAGCGCCCCATGGGATGAGGGAGGGGACAGGGCAGTCAGGCAAAGGTTAGGGGAGGAAAGCAGAGGCAGAGGCCCAGAACGGCTCCAGGAAATGTTTGTATTTCTCCACCGGGAGGGAGGACAAACAAGCTTTTTTTCGTGCCTTCTGGGCGGCTTTGCCTGCTCTCAGCAGAGCGAGCCCGAGGAGAAAGAGGGAGGCTGAAAATAAAAAGCTCTCTGGGCCTGGACGCAAGGGCTCCCCTCCAGCTGCCTGGCCGGACCTGCCAGCTGCTTCCAGAAGGCGCCCTCGCGCGAGATGCCGGGCGCCGCAGGGCCCGGCCGTGCTCTGTGCTCCAGCTCTCGGGACACCGGCAGCTCCCCGGCTCCAGAGAGGCGCCCTCCCCGGGCCTCTCCTTTCCTCACTGAAGCTGCCTTGGTCCATGCCCTGGCCGCACGGGCTGCCGAGGCCCGTGCCACCTGCCTCACGGGGTGAGGACAGCGAAGCAGCATCTGCCCGCGCGGGCGGATTCAGATAAGCACCCTGTGTCCTGGGGCCCGGGCCGCCGGCCCCCACACGTGTCTCTGAGCGCCATGAGCAATGGGTCCTGCTGCCTCATCGAGGGGGACCCCATCTCACAGGTGATGCCCCCGCTGCTGATCCTGGCCTTCGTGCTGGGCGCCGTGGGCAACGGCATCGCCCTGTGCGGCTTCTGCTTCCACATGAAGACCTGGAAGCCCAGCACCATCTACCTGTTCAACCTGGCCGTGGCCGACTTCCTCCTCATGGTCTGCCTGCCCTTCCGGACAGACTACTACCGCAGACACCGGCGCTGGGCCTTCGAGGACATCCCCTGCCGGGTGGCGCTCTTCATGCTGGCCATGAACAGGGCCGGGAGCATCGTCTTCCTGACGGTGGTGGCCGTGGACCGCTACTTCAAAGTGGTCCACCCCCACCACGTGCTGAACACCATCTCCAACCGCACGGCGGCCGGGATCGTGGGCGCCCTCTGGACCCTGGTCATCCTGGGGACGCTGTACCTGCTGACGGAGAACCACCTGTGCATTCAAGACCAGACCATCGCTTGCGAGAGCTTTATCATGGAGTCGGCCAATGGCTGGCATGACATCATGTTCCAGCTCGAGTTCTTCCTGCCCCTCGGCATCATCCTGTTCTGCTCTGTCAGGATGGTCTGGAGTCTGAAGCAGCGGCAGCAGCTGGCCAGGCAGGCTCGGATGAAGAAGGCGACCCGGTTCATCATGGTGGTGGCGGTGGTGTTCATCACGTGCTACCTGCCCAGCGCGGCGGCCAGACTGTATTTCCTCTGGACGGTGCCCTCCAGCGCCTGCGACCCGTCGGTCCACGTCGCCCTCCACGTCACCCTCAGCTTCACCTACATGAACAGCATGTTGGACCCACTGGTGTATTACTTTTCCAGCCCCTCCTTCCCCAAGTTCTATACCAAGCTCAAAATCCGCAGTTTGAGGCCCAAGCGTCCGGAACGCGTGGGGACCCGGAAGCCCGAGGAGGTGCCCATCTCGAACCTCGGTGGCAAGGGCTGCATCGGCGCCGTCAGCAGCTTCCCAAGACCATCGGACCTGCAGTGGGATCTCCAGGGGTGCTGAACTGCGCCAGAATAAGCAAACTCAAATGCAAGGACGGACGGGTGCCCGAGAGCACATTCCTGCTAAGGGCGGGGGGTGTTGTAGCCATCCTTCTTTTGGAACTTTGGAACTCAAATTCAAGTCACCGCACCATTTGGAAGGTTCAGTTGAGAAGTGAGTCAGTTGTGTGAATATGATCTGATTACAGTGACGGGGGCGGGGGGGCAACATGTGCGTTCGTGGGGTGACTGTGTGTTGGGGGATAGTCGGAAGAGCTCAGCTCCTGTCCTCTCATTTTAAACGGCTGAGTAAATAGGTAAGAGTGTTTAAACCCGTCAGGTTCTCGCTCGCTCTCCGGGGGAGTTAGTGAGCTTCATGACTTAGCAGGATTTCCTATTCCCTGACCTTAAATGGTTCCTTGGACTGGAAAATAGGAACTGGACCAGGTGGGTCCTTGTATTTCAGGCTGAGCCAGACTCTTGAGACTGGGATGTTTCAATCCTGATTTTCAGCTTCACTGGAGGGCCCCTTGGTATCTTTCAGACTTGCCGGTAGCCCAAGCAAAAAAAGACAGCAAAACCATCTGCTCTGCCCTCTTATGTGCCACATTTTCTGCAGATTTTTGCGTTTCAAAGAGGGTGCTAAAGCGAATGGTTACCTGCCCTGATTTTCTGAGGGAGCTGAGTGCCTGGCTTTGGGGAAGTGCTGAGTCTGGCATCATTGCTTTGGCTGGCTTGTTATGTGACTTGCAATTATTCATTCATTCTTTTCCCAAGTATTTACTGCTTCCTCTTCTGCGCCAGGCACTGCATTGTGTCCCTTTAACCTGGAGGGTCCTGAGGCCACTCTGCATGACAGGGACATTGTTTTGGAGGGAGGGTAAGCAGAGGGGTTCATGACTTTCACTCTTTCAAGGGATAGTTCTAGACCTGTTCTCTGCAAATGTCAGTGTTTTCCTCTGATTACAGGATTCTGTACAAACACCAAAGGGTGCAATGGGCAAATGTCCCTTATGCACGTGAGTTTCGCAAACATGTACCTGGAGTCCTCAAAACTGGGTGATCCTACAAAATGCCTGGCTGCTTCTGCCCTGGATTCAGGGAAAACTTCCAAACCAAGCTTAGTTCTATTCTCTAGCCATAAAGTAACTGTTGGCTCCATTACTTACATTTTCTCAAACACCTGGGGTTTTCTCTGCCCTTCAAGATCTTTCCAGCTTTCAGTTCTTTGGCTTCCAAATACCCCCCAAGGCTGTCCTTAGTATTACTTTTCTCAGAAGCACTGCACAGCCTTGTGAGGAAAAGTATGAATGATACAAATTCAGACAGATTTAAGTTCAAGTCCCAGCTCCACGCTTGCTAGATCTGTGACCTGGACGCAGGTATTATTTTTACCACTTTTAGCTTCAGTTTCCTCACCTGTCAAACAGGAAACAATAATATTGACTTTGCAAGGTCATTGGGCAGATTGCAAAAAGGTCAGACCCTGGACATACCGTTACGTCCCCAGCCTAGAAGAACAAGTGCGCGTACTCTGCTCCGTATGTATTTGAACGATTGAATGCACACGGCATGTTCCATGCAGAATCCGGCAGGAGGTTGTCCATATTATGACTTTTTAATGTTAACACACTTTACATAAAAAGAAATAGAAATACAGAAGCAATTTCCCTTGGGGTTCAGAGACACTCCCCGCCCCGCCGTCTGCCCCACCAGTAGCTGCCCTGTTGCCACTAACTGAATTCCTGCTGCAGGGAGAGGGGAGAGCGTGATTCTTATCCACCTCACGCTTCTGCTTTTAATTTTAGTCTTAGTTATAATTATTTCCCAGGCTGCTCCTTGTTGCTTCAGCTTAATAAAAATGGGTTCCGAAGCAAGTTCCTCGCGTGAGCCTCTGTGAGAAGCCTCGGGAGACTTTACTTTCCGAGGATGAAAGCCTAAAAAAATCCAGAGCTCGTGGTGGGCATGTGGGCAGAGCTTTTCACTTAAAGAACAAGGACAAACTGAAAGAAAGAAAAGTCAAACAAAAACCCCAAAACCAGTCTGGACTCTCATTTTGCTTCCCTTTCTTAAAGTCCTACAATGTGAAAAAATATATTCTACCAAGAAGCTTCAGAAATTGTAAGGGAAAGGACTAGAACTTTGTTGACAAAGCTTTGTTTAAACTATCTGGAACAGGAAACCAGAATCAATTTAAAAGGAAATGTTTTCTCTTCTTACATAGACTTTCAGGAAAAACCTCGTAAAAGCTGGAAGGGATACGAAACCTTACGTTCTATAGGAATTGTGTGGGGAAGACAAGGGCGACAATGATTGATGCTGTCAGTGTAAATGTAAGGTCTGGTCTATGCTTGGAATAGGTTTCCCCAACCTTTAATAAACCTGAAATGGTCAAGGGGTTCTGCAGTCACAGAATGCAGGGGCTGCGTGGAAGGGATTAGACTCCAGGGCACAAGGGGTTAAGCCAGAACTTAGAGGTTCATCAGCGAGGTGGGAACTTGGCCAGATAGTTACTCAGGATCTCAACTTGGCTTGTCTTCTGGATCTTCTAATCCACAGAGCTGTCCAGTCTCACTCAAGCCCCCACCTCGCAGCGAGCGCATACATGACATTTCAGGACCAGCTACATAATTTGCAGGGCCCAAAGCAGCGTCCCTGGTTCAAAAATTACTAGGAATTTCAAGATGACAACAGCAGAGCATTAACCTTGACACAGGCCTTTCTGGACTCATCCACTCACCTGGGGGTCTACATTTTGTTTGTGGATATAAACAGGTTGTATAGATAGCTTTATATCTTGATCTCTCCATAGAAACATATAAGGTAGCTTTATACATCTATATAATTGATGTCAGCTATATCTTAATATTTACTTGTGCACTTTTGTAATTCTATAAATAGAGATAAGGGCCTCCCCTGGTGGCGCAGCCATTGAGCCCTGGGCTGCGAAGCTGCCCGCAGCCTCTGCAGCGCAGGTTTGATCCCCGGCCGCCAGCGAGGGTCCCACATGGCGCGCAGACCTCTCCTGCCGTGCCCGCTGCTCCTCTCAGCAGTGTATTTCTTCGTCAGTCTGCCTGTTCTGTTCCCCGCTCTGGCTCTGGTGAATTCTCTCACCCTCCCGCGCTTCTGACTGTACCCAGTGCTTGTATAAATAAATAAATAAATCTTTAAAAAAAATAAATAAATGGAGATAGGGAGCTAGAGCTAGAGACACAGCCGAGATGGGACAGAGTAAAGAGAGACACTCATCTGTGGACTGATCACTCATCACCGGGACCCGGTGATGACACGACGGGAGTGTAGATTTCCTTGGACATGTTCATTCATTCATTTCCTTTTATAAGGAATGTTCATTAAGCACCAGACACAGTCGAAACACAAATGAGCACAGCCCCTGGGGGTCAACTGTAGAAGTCAAATTAAAAAATGGAATGACAATTCAGGGTCCCTGCGGGGCAAGTGGCCAACAGGGGATTTCGCAGGAGAATCCCGGGGCCCCTCATCCTGGCTTAGGGGGTAGGGGAGGCCTTGTCAGAGGAAATGACTCCTGGTCCCGCCCTGAAGGATGGATGGGAGGCACCCAGGTGAGTCAGTGGGGAAAGGCATCCAGGTAGGAGAGGAGAGAGGCAAGAAAGAGCCAATTGTTTGGGAATGGCAGCAGAATGAGTGGGACATGAAGGGAAAGTCCAGGCTGGGGCCAGGACAACCGCGTGCGAGGTGATGTGATGAGTCCTCCGGGATGCTCACAGCCCCTTAAGACAGAAGGTTCTTCCACAGTCTTTCGGTTTTCCCCTTTTTAAAAAAAATAATTGAGTTTCCTTATTTACAGAAGGTAAAGCGTTCTTGTTCAAAAATGAAAGACTACTCAAACGCAAAAAGTCAACGTCTTCCTTTCCCTCTCTCTGTAGTTCATGCTCGCTGTATCTTTATCTCTATTCACGGCTGGAGGGCTCTGCGGGGTGTAGACACACGGGGACACAGATAACGGGGTCTTTTGTTTTGCTAAAGCAGGATTATGTGGGCAAATCACACACACACACACACACACACACACACACACACGTATGCTTTTGCCAAGTCTTGTCACGAATAGCTTCCCCATCAGAACAGAGGTCAAGCTCACTGTTCTTAACTCTGTTTCTGGGATGCAGGCACCTGTGGCTGACCGAGCTGACGGCCTCTGCAGGGCTGTTTGCTTCCAGTTCTCCTCCGGGGCCACCACACATGGGGACTATCCTGATGCTCTGTCCGTGGACTCAGGGGCAGGGTGTATGGAAAGAGATCCTTGGATGTGGAAAAACATGCTTGGGGGCGGCGTTGTGCACAGGGGCTGGGAGCTTACCCCCGGGTGAGTCGGGGTGGGGGTTCAAGTCCCATCTCCTTTACTTACCGGCTGGGGGACCTCAGGCAAGTTCCACAACCGCTCCCAGCCTGACTTTCCTTGTCCGTAAAATGGGAAAACAGAAGGGCCTGCCTGGGGCATCAGTGGGAGGACTAAATGGTGCCTGGAGCCCCTGGGGCAGCGCCCCCCAGGGGATCAGCTGTTCCTGTGCGCCCATCCCCTGGTGTGCGCTCCCGGGACCGCCGCGGTGGGGGCCGCCCGCTCGCCCAGCGCCTTCGGAGCTGCCTTCTGCTCCGACACCACACGCAAAGCCCCTTCCACGCTCCTGCCAACAGCAAGTTGCTCTTTTGCTTTTTTTGGTATGTTTCCCTCCCCTTCTTTTGTAAAAAAAAAAAAAAAAAGAAAAAAAAAAGTCACTCCCCTAAAGGCATGGGGACCAATTTATCAACTTTTTGTGCTGTTTGGGCGCTGGTGTTACGCCCAAGACGTTTTGTTTAAGTCAAGGTCAGGAAGACCCTCTTTCAGCTTGTCCTCTAAGAGAGCTTCTGGCCTAACGTTTGGATGGGTGAGACTGCCAAGCGTCTTCTTCTCTTTCCAGATGACTGACGTGGGCATTCTAGTTTGCCTGTAGCTTTTCACATTCAGCGCAACACCGTTTCAAGCCAGAGGTGCCTCTCCCCTTTGCACTGTCCCTGCCGGTCACTCCCCAGGCCCCTCCCGCCTCCCGATTTCCCCATTCTCCTAGCTCATTTCCTTCACGAGCCACCCCGCGGTCTCCTGCGCCCCCACGCCTGATGTCACCTATCACCTGCCCAGGCGAGTCTCCCCCAGGGTCCCCGGGAACTCCCACCTGCCCGGGGACCCTCCCAGAGAGCACGGGACCCGCTCTGCAGCCAGGATGGAGGTGATGTTCCAGCATTCCTGAGCCCGGGCAGCCAGAGGTCCCCTGTGCGCTTCAGAAGCCCTGAGTAGCCTTTAAAGAGTCCAGCTGACCCTCGGGAGGAACATGGCAAGTGTCCCGTTCAGACGCCAGTGAAGAGCCGTCGAGAGACTATGAGGAGAGTCCAGGAGTCCGTGTCCTGCTTGAGCTGAGCTGTCACCTGAGACACTACAAATGAGACTCTACTGGCTAAAACCCGTCAGTCGGGCCTCCCCCGGGGGGCCTAGAAGTTAAGTCTCAGGCTGTCACCGCTGTGGCCTGAGTTTCATCCCCGTCCAGGGAGCTACGCACAGGGCACGGCAGACCTCTCCTGGCTCCCCGCTGCTCCCCTCAGCAGTTGCTCTCAGTATATCTTTCTATTCTGCTCCCTGCTCAGTCTCTGGTGAGTCCTCTCACCCCCTCCCCCAACACCTCTGGCCTGTACCCCAGTTCTTCTACATACACACACACAAAAATTAAATTAAAAAATAAAAATAAAAATAGAAATAGAAATAAAACCAGCCAATCCTCAGAACCATTAGAGAGAAAACAACTGTGGCTGTTTCAGCCCCTGATCTTGTGGCCGTTTGTTACTTAGCAATAGATAACTGGAACAGAAATCGCAGCTCAGTTCAAAGACCAGAAATGGCGAATTATATAACTTCTCTAAGCCTCAGTTTTTTTGCTCTGTAAAATGGGGATGAGGACAGTAATAATATCACCACAGGGTTTATGTGAGAATTAAATGTGATCAGATGTGGAAATCTCTTAGCTGAATGCCTGACACATGGCAAGCTGTTGCTAAATGGCAGTTACTATTATTTTTTTAAAGATTTATTTATTTATGCATACAAGAGCTGGGGTACAGGCCAGAGGTGTGGGGGTAGGAGGATTCACTAGAGACAGAGCGGGGAACAGAACAGGCAGACTGACGAAATACACCGCTGAGGGGAGCAGCAGGGAGACAGGAGAGGTCTGCTGCACCACGTGGTTTCTCCCTGGCTGGCCGGGGATCGAACTCATGCTGCAGAGGTTGCAGATTGCTTCATAGTGTGGTGCTTAACCCCTTGCTCCACCAGGGAGGCCCAGTTATTATTATTTTTAATGGAAAAATAGTTCAATCTGTTCATGGCACACATTCAGGCCTGTGAGATAAACACAAAAGATTCGTGTTCATTGCGGAAGTTACAGATTTTAAGTGCAGTTTCAACAAAACTCAGTGGAATCACCTTTGCTGCAGAAATGATTCATTACAACAAGTTTCTGTAATACTCATGCACCAGGAACTAAAAAATAAATACATACAAGAAGGATACCAGCAAGACAAAACATGCCGAGAGCAGCGGGAAGACTGGAAACTCCATAGCTAGGACTAGAATCGAGGGAGGCTGGAATTCACATTCTTTCTGAGCAGCTGTGAAGTTTGGTTTTGCATCCCAGAATCACATGAGCGCTGGAAGAAAGAGGCACGATGGTCAAATCCCTCGACAGAGACTCGAGGAAGCTGAGGGGTGGAGACACTCAGACTACTCAATCAGCCACAGAGAATGTGAAGTGTCCTGCTTTCCTCCTTGTTCAAACTTAATATTTGTTCTTCTTTTCTAATCTTAATTAGACCTATTGTTCAAAGAAATTATAAAGCTGTAAAACTTAAAAAGGGAGAGTTCCTTACAAATCCCAGCTCCTAGAAGTATGTACTAACTGTGAGTTTTTCTGACTCTTTTTTTTTTTTAAAGATTTATTTATTTGTGCATACAAAAATGGGGTTACAGGCCAGAGGTGTGGGGGTGAGAGGACTCACCAGAGACAGAGTGGGGAACAGAACAGGCAGACTGACTGAAATACACTGCTGAGGGGAGCAGCAGGCAAGTCAGGAGAGGACTGCTGCACCATGTGGGCTGATCCCTGGCCGGCCATTGAATTCGTGCTGCAGTGGCTGTGGTCAGCTTCATAGGTTGCGTCTCAACCTCTTGCGCCACCAGAAAGACCCCGATTCTTTTTTTTTTTTTGAGATTTATTTATTTATGCATACAAGAACTGGGGTGTAGTCCAGAGTGCGGGAAGGTGAACAGATTCACCAGAGACTACAGTGGCTGCTGATAGTTTCATAGTGCTGAGACTAACCCCTTGTGCCACCAGGGAGGCCCCCATTTTTTCTGACTCTTATTTAATAAAGGCTCGGATGATTAATTGATGAAAATCATCGACAAGTCCATGTTCGTACAAGAAGGAACATGATATTCACGGGCAAACAGGATGGGAGGCAAATACTGATCATTTCACTAGAGCCTTACTACACCCACATACTGTGACCTCAATCCAGAGCAGATAGATGGAACAATCCCTTGATAAGAACTGAGTTGGGCCTCCCCTGTTGGCGCAGGCAGCCGAGCTCCACTCTGTGAAGCTGTCCTCAGTCTCTGCAGCGCCAGTTCGATCCTGGCCGACCGGCGAGGGTCCCACATAGCGCTGAAGACCTCTCCTGTCGCGCCCGCTGCTCCCCTCAGCAGTGTATTTCATCAGTCTGCCTGTTCTGTTTCCCACTCTGTCTCTGTTGAATCCTCTCACTGTCCTGTGCATCTGGCCTGTACCCTGGTTCTTGTGTAAATGAATAAATAAATCTTAAAAAAAAAAAAAAAAAAGAACCATGTTGAGGTGCAGTATAATGGTTAGGGACATACAGCTGGTGCCAGGTCCGAGGCCAAGCTCTGTCATTAGCTGGGCAGGTTTGAACATATTTCCAACCTCCCTGAGCTTCACTTTCCTAATTTTGAAATCAGGTTCAGTCATTGTCCCTACCTCGTGGCGTGCAGTCTCAGAAATACAAGAGGATGTAGCTAGGTCGCGAGCACGGGGTCCAGCCGTTGGGACAGCTGTGTCACGTCGTCATCATCCCCACCTTCACCTTCCCATGAGGGTGTAATCATCCATTCTGACTCATTCTCCTGAGCAGCTGAAAAACCCTCGGCTGTGCAACCCAAGAGATACGTTTCCTATTTCTGACTCAAAATAGCAACACAATTTGGAAACCTTGCTGCTGTAAGAATTCATGAGACCAAAACATGACAGTGTATTATAGGATCACACCCAATTACACTGAAAAGCAAACAGACCATCTGTGAACTGGTGACCTGCTGGGAGGCAGAGTTCAAAGTCCTCTTAGACTCTGTGGCTCTAAGTTTAATTTTCCAAAAGAGGGGGCTTTAAAAATATCACACACTTGGGCCTCCCCGGTGGCGCAGCGGTTGAGCGCTGGGTTGCGAAGCTGCCCGCTGCGGTTCGATCCCCGGCTGCTCCCCGGCCACCAGAGGAGGGTCCCGCATGGCGCGCAGACCTCTCCTGCCGCCCGCTGCTCCCCTCAGCAGTGTACTTCGGTCCTTCTGCCTGCTCTGCTCCCCGCTCTGGCTCTGGTGGGTTCTCTCACCCTCTCGCGCTTCTGACTGTACCCAGTGCTTGTATAAATAATAAATAAATCTTTAAAAAAAAAAATCACACACCTGATGTGGAAGGCTGTGCATTAGCGGGGACAGGGACTCTGTACTCTGCTCAATTTTGCCATGAACCTAAAAGCTTATTAATTTAAAAAAAAGGACAACAAAATTAATCACTGACATGAGCACAGTATCATATCATAACCTGACACAAACAAGCAAACAAAAAACCCAACTTATTGTAACATAGCACTGGCAATACAAACTAGGTTCAAGTTTTCAGATATATTGTGAAATCTTATGCTACTCTCATTTTTTTTTAATTGCTGAATTGTGCTGAGAAGGAGGATGGCACGAGGAGAGGAAACTCATATCTGACTGATAAAGTCAACGTGTAGTATCTTCTTAGCCTTTGCAAGGAAATCCTATGAGTCACCATTTCTTCAATCATCTGCCTGTTAATATTTCATATGATTTTTTAATTTTTCTGGAAAAACCATGCTGTTTAGCCCAGTAAATCATTGTTGCTGTCTTTGTTGCATGGCTCATTATGTAAGCTCATCACGTGCCGCGACCCTTTCTCCGAGGCGCGGTGCTCCCAGACAGGCTTCCTGAGGGATGCCCTGCATTTCAGTCCCTCACAAATGAGTCAGCTTGTCTAAACTTATCCTTTACATTTAGAAAAATTCTGCCCAGGGGATTTTGATTCCTTGTTTATGCAAACAGCAGGTTGCGTAACTGACTGGCTTTTTTTTTTTTTAAGCAATGTCGTAGCTTCCTGGTAACCATTCAGTTTCAACACCCTGACATAACATAAAGGCGGCGCTGAACCACACGCGGAGCACACACACACCTCTCTCCGGCGCGTCTGCTAGGTGAGTCGCTTGGCCGCGCTCCTTCCATCCACTCATGAGGCCGCACGACATCCAGGAACACTTCCTGATGATCCATGGGACGAACTGCTGTGTGTTCCGACACAACCGTTTGCCCCAAGTGCTCCCGCCGTTGCTGGGGCTGGAGTTTGTGTTCGGGCTCCTGGGCAATGGCCTCGCCCTGTGGATCTTCTGCTTCCACCTCAAGTCCTGGAAATCCAGCCGGATTTTCCTGTTGAACTTGGCTGTGGCTGACTTTCTTCTGATCATCTGCCTGCCGTTCCTGATGGACAACTACGTGAGGAAGTGGGACTGGAAGTTCGGGGATGTGCCGTGCCGGGCGATGCTCTTCATGGTGGCCATGAACCGCCAGGGCAGCGTCATCTTCCTCACCGTGGTGGCCGTGGACAGGTATTTCCGGGTGGTCCATCCCCACCACGCAGTGAACAAGATCTCCAATCGCACCGCGGTCATCATCTCCTGCCTGCTGTGGGTTGTCACCATCGCCTTGACAAGTCACATCCTGATAAGCAACAAGCTGTTCCACGCCGACGCCGAAGGCTTCAACCTGTGCAGCAGCTTCACCATCTGCAACGACTTCAAGTGGCATGACGCCCTGTTCCTCCTGGAGTTCTTCCTGCCCCTGGGCATCATCCTCTACTGCACCACCAGAATCATCTGGACGCTGCGGCAGCGGCAAATGGACAGGCACGCCAAGATCAAGAGGGCCATCTGCTTCATCGTGGTGGTGGCAATCGTCTTCGTCCTCTGCTTCCTGCCCAGCGTGGCCGTGCGCATCTACGAGCTCTGGCTGCTGCACACGAGGGGCATGCAGACCTGCGCCGGCTACAGCTCGGTGGACCTGGCGTTCTTCATCACGCTCAGCTTCACCTACATGAACAGCATGCTGGACCCGCTGGTGTACTACTTCTCCAGCCCCTCCTTCCCCAACTTCTTCTCCACCTTGAAGCGCCGCTGCCTCCGGAAGAACAGCCCGGAGGAGGCAGATAACTACCGCAGCACGAGCGCCGAGCTCACCGGGGATCCGAGTACCACCAGGAACATTCCAGACGTGCTAATGACTGACCCCGGGGAGCCCTGGAACCCCTCTCACCTGGCCCCAGAGGCTCGTTAACTAACCAAGCCGGGAGGACCGAAGGTGTCTGGAGACAGTTTAGTCAGTGTACAGAGTAACATCAGCAGACGTGGCCTCGGGGTCCCCGGAATCTCCAGAGAAGCAGTGTGGTGGAGGGGCACCCAGGCTGCAGAGCGTGTGCACAGACCTCGCCGGGGATCTGAGAGTGACATTTCTGGGTACCTGAAACTTCTGCTTCATCTCTGACACTCGCAGATCTGAAGACGGCAAAGCTGTCACCATTTCTGCTGAACAGAGAGCCCCAGAGGTGCCCACCAGCGCTGGGGGGTTCACTGGCCTCTTTCCTTCAAGCTTGAGACTCGATGGTTCTCAGCTCCTGGCGGCAGCTCGCCTGTTCACGAGCATGGCCGGCATGAGGAGAGCTGAACGGCTGGGGGGTCCTGCCATCCGTGGAGGGAGCCCAGGGGGCCCTCAACAAGCTACGGGTCACCTGGGTTTGGAGGGGCCAATCCATCTAGGAGCCAAGCCTTAGAAACAGACTGGGCAAAGGGACTTGCCAGTTTTATTTAACATCTGAGTTTCCAGCGGGGTGAGGAGGAGGTTAGCCCCAGGAGGGACGGAGCAAAACAGTGTTACTGAGGGAAAGGAAATGGCTCAGGGCCACAGCCTGCAATTAATCCAGTCCCCTCTTGTTTACACTAATTTGAAGGTTGAGCACTTAAAAGCCTTCAGGAGAGAGAGCTGCTTCCCACCTTTGTTGTCATTAGGACGAAAATGCTTCCCCGGGCGGAAGGGGCGGGTGCCTCCCGCTTCTTTCCCCGAGTTTCTGTACCTAGAAGAAATCTACCACTCAATAAACCTTGACAGCAGGCAATCTGGTGCTGCCCTTGTCTGGGTTAGGGTTCACCGAAATGGGTCTCTTACTTAAGCAGAGACCTTGAGGGGCTGTTAACTGTGTCCTGGAGGGAAAGTGCTATAACGCCGGACGAGGACGACCCGGAGCTGCACCGTGAGGCAGCACCGAGTAACAAGGGCAGAAAGGGCTGGGGGCAAATAAAGACTCGTGTTTGGGAAGTGGCGCTGAGAGGACACGGGTTATTTAGACACTGGTGACTGTTGCTATTGGGATTTGCATATTAAAGAAAGAATTGGGGCAGACGAGGGGGGTGGGGGGGTGGATTTTTGCATAGGAGGGGCCCACGGCAGTTCCCCTGGAAGAGGTCCAGTCCCAGTTCCAGGAGGGAGAGGAGACGCACTGGTTTGCGCCTGTGATGGGTCCAAGTTTCTGGTACGCTTGCATTTCCAGCTGCAGTCACTCCTTGCTTCTTTGGCAAGATGAGGCTTGCTTTGACATCCTGATTTGGATAGAGATAAGAGAGGCAGGTCCTGCCCCGATTGATACACTCCCAGCCCCGGGAGAGTGGCAGGAAGCGGGGAAAGGGAGACGTCCTCGAATTTCTTACGTGTTTCCAGCGCAGTTCACTTGCCCCCTTCTCCAAGCAACTCCTAGAGGTGGAGGCGGAGCCCACAGGTCACCTCCTTAGAGAGGCAGCGGCCCCAGAGAAGAGCTGGGAGGAGAGCGGGATCCCCCCACGGCCTCCCTCGACGTGTGAGTCAGCAGGGAGCCAGCTGTGAAACTCCAGTCTGTTCAGACACTCCCCTCGCCTAATTTCCTCACTCACCCCGTGAGCTTGTCCGCATAAAGCGCCCACTGTGTCAGGTGCAGCTCTGGGCCGATGGTGGAAGGAGAGCACAGAACTCAAGACCTTGACGCTCTTCGAACTCACATTTAAGTGGGGAAAAAGACAGAAATGAAGCAAGTTCGTGAATGGAAAGGGACTTGGGGACAGAAAGGGGTAGCAAGGCAGGGACAGCTTAAAGCAGAGAGAGCCTGGGATAAACTCTACGGGAAGGGGCCTCAAAATAAGCTGGAAATGACAAGACAAAGCTGACCACGCAGAAGGGGGGAGGTAATCTGCAGGAAGGGCTTCCTGGGCAAGGGGGTGGTAAGTGCAAAGGCCCTGAGATAAGAACTGGTTTAGTGTGCCGAGTCTGTTTGTTTCCTGGGGCTGCCTTAACAAAAGCATGACAGACGTGGCAGCTTAAAACAACAAAGATTTATTGTCTCACGGTTCTAGAGGCAAGAGATCTGAATCAAGGTGCCGGTGAGGGTCTGCAGCAGGGAGGGTCAGGGCACACCTCACGCCGAGCTCTGGTGGCTCCTGGCCCTGTGTGGCACTCCCTGCGTCCAGGAGCCTTCACACAGGCCTGCTCTCCGTGTCTGCGTCTCCGCTTATTTCCTCTTGTAAGGATACATGCCACTGGATCTAGGGACCACCTTTCCAGGATGTCACCTCGAGGTCGTGGCATTCTTCCGAGTGGTGATAGCGCTGAGCCTTAACCCCTGGGCCGCCAGGGAGGCCCCCGGAGCTTGCCATCTTAACCATTTCTAAATGCACGGTTCCCTGGCAGTAAGCACAGCCACGCTGCTGTGCCGCTCTCCCCTCCTCCAGCTCCAGGATTTTCTATCCTGCAAAACTCAAACTCTGTCCCCATCAAACACTAACTCTCCCTTCTCCGCCCCCTCCAGCCCCTGGCCGCCTCCTGCCTACTTTCCGTCTTTACGAATTTATTTTCTTTAATCGAGATAACATTGATTGACTCTACAGATTGAGGGTGGAACTGCCATTTTGACAACGTTCTCTGCTGGAGGCTGGGCTGTGCGTGTTACTGGCAAACTTTCTGAGAAGAGAACTTCTTTTCATGGCAGTGAGGCTGTGCCTTATTCTGATGGGTTTTGAATGGTATAATTTTTATGGAGTAAATTGGTTTACAACAGCGTGTGTGGTCGAAAGGAACATCTTCAGATGCAGGTTGCACACCCCACCCCACACGACAGCCCCCATTACCATCGTGAACTCAGGGGCTTTATGGTTGCGAGCAGCGGAAACACACTTCAAATGAACTTAAATACAAAATTATAAACAGAGAGAGGAAGATAGAGTGTCTCTCTCAGAAAGAAATAGACAATTAAACCAAGCGCGGGCTTTGCCAGGAGACCAGCTCACAGCCCCTCACCGCGCTCGTAACCATGAACGTGACTCAAACCCCCAACTCCTCTGTCTCAGAAGATTGTCACCTGAGAGAACGTGACTGTCCCTAACCACTCTTCCTGAAAAGGTCACAGAGACCATAAGCATGCAACACATGGTGGAAATTTTTTTTTTTAAGATTTATTTTTATTTATTTATTTATGCATATAAGAACTGGGGTGCAGGCGACAGGTGGGGGGGTAAGAGGTTGCACCAGAGACAGAGTGGGGAGCAGAACAGGCAAGATCTACTGAAATACACTGCTGAGGGGAGCAGCGGGGAGACAGGCGAGGTCTGCTGCGCCATGTGGGTAGCTCCCTGGCTGGGGTGGGGATCAAACTGGTACTGCAGTGGCTGGCAATAGCTTCATAGTGAAGCGATTTAACCCCTGCGTCACCAGGGAGGCCCCGAAGAAGGGTGTTTTTGAGCTAGTTTGTGTAAAGACACACTCTCTGCTAGGAGCTCTGTCCTCAGGTAATGCAGGGATCACCTTCCCTCTCCTTCCGTCCACTCAGCCAAACAGCAAGTTGGGGTTTTCAGTGCAATCCATCCATTCTCTCGCTTTCAGCGTTTCTGCCATGTGTTATCCCAGGGACCCAGTTTGCTCGTTGCTGGAGAACTAAAGGCTCTGGCACGTTCTACATTGCTTATTCAACTCAGGGCCAAGAAGTCCTCACTGGCAGGCTTAGCTGATGAGCACCCAGGCACGGAACTCTGTTTGCCTTTCCTGTCACTCATGACAAAGGAAACATGGCCATTTTGCAATAGTGCTGGATTCCCTGAGCTCACACTTCACATTTGGACACCCTCTGTCTTTTCAGGGAGAAGGAGTTTGTGTGTGGGGTAACCAGCTTCTGCCCTGCCTGTACCCCACAGCCCCATGGCCCTGGCAGGTGAAGCACAAATGCTTCCAGGTTCTTAACAACTATTGATGACCTTGGAGCTCTGCCCGCAGCTGGAGAGGGAGCCACAGTGGTCACCATGCATGGGGTCAGTGCGTGGTGCTCCCCACACAGCTGAGAAATGAAGACCCACCGGCCCGTCAGATGGAACAGCAGTGGGCTTCCTTCGGTGGCTCATAAAGCATCCCTCCTTTGGAACACGAAGGTTTAGTAAGAAAAGGGTTTAATCATCTGCTTTTGGTTTTGGTAAAGCAACACGAAGCAGAGACAGGCTCAGTAGGATCATGGTCCTCTCTTCCCTCCTCAGTATCATTTGAGCACCCCCATTTATTGTATCTAAGATTCACTCTGTGCCTCAGTTGAACACCACACGATGTGTTACTTGCATAGGTGATCTCAATTTTCAATAATTTTATAGGGTGTATGCTGTGTCCATTTCACAGGTAAGGAAGCTGAGGTCCAGAAAGTTTGAATAAATATGCCCGTGGTCACAGAACTTCTAAGTTATGGACCAAGAGAATAAGCAAAGGCCGTCTGAGTCTAGAGGGTTATATTTAAATTTTTCAAAAAAGACAGTGAGAGATGAGCAATATAAGATGAAAAAAGGATGAATGCCTTGACCCATATGGGGTCAATATTTCCTGTACTTCCCAGGCTGCCCAACCAGTGGGGGCTCAGATATCTCCCAGGTCCATGCTAAGATCATGCATGTGAGCTGCTGGCATAGAATCCGCTTCCTTGACAGGGATCTATAAATGTTAGCTTCCCTTCTCAAAGCTAACTCTGATGGATTTGTTTTTCCCTTGTTGAAGGGTCTTGGGTGTTGAAGGGTCTTTCTTGTTTACCTAAGGGTGAGGTCAATCAAGGTTGTTCATGGCAACATTGTAATAGCGAGACACAGGAAACAACATTAAGTGTCAATTAGGAGGGGAGCAGATAGTGAGCTGGCCATCCAGTGGAATATTACACGGCCAGGAAAAATAAACCAGAGCAAAAGGACTTGTAAACTTGCAGCAACAGGACTGAATCTTGAGCACTGAATCTC